TTTCGCCAACTTTGGTCCAGTACTGGGCAGCCAAGTAAAGGTTGTCCATACTGAACCAGTGTTCGGTCAATCTTCCAGTTCCAGGGTTTGGTACATTAACGTTTCGCCAAATTTGGTCCAGTACCAGGCAGTCAAGTAAACATTTGTCAATACTGGACCAATGTTCGAGCAATTTTCAAGTGCTAAGGTTCGGTACATTAACGTTCCGCCAACTTTGGTCCAGTATTGGCCAGCCAAGTAAAAGGTTTGTCAATACTGAACCAGTGTTCGATCAATCTTCAAGTACGAAGGCTTGGTACATTAACATTTCGTCAACTTTGGTCCAGTATTGACCAGCCAAGTAAAGGTTTGTCAGTACTGGACCAATGTTTGAGCAATCTTCAAGTACTAAGGTTTTACTTTTTACTTTTTTCATGCGGCGTCAAAAAGTATTAAAATAGCAACTTTTATCAACAACTTTACTAAAACAATACGCAGTGTAGATAACAGATTAAAGGACAATATTTTTTGTTTTTAAGTTTTACAATTATTTTTTCATTCGTTTTTATGAAAATTAAATGAACACGCTTCCAGTTTATGCTGGGCTTTCTCCTGATCGGATATGGTATCGGAAGGCATTACTTTAACAGGTTCGGGAAAAACGGGAGCCAATCTAGACTTTTTCAAAGGCTTTTTCAAATTCTTGTATACACTCGATTCAGCCCTAACAGGATACTCGTCAACTGTTGTTGTGCTTTCTGGATCTAGAATCGTTTCTTTTTCCGCAGTTCGGTTTAGTTCAATTTTTACTTTTTCTTTTGACTCCTTAAAATAAAACAAAGCTGTTTAGGTATGAAATGTAAAAGTTGAACAAAACCGACCACTAACGTACCTGAAGATCGGCATTTCCTTCGACAACTTGCTTATTTTCAAGATTCAATTTAACCTCAGATTTAATCGAACAAAATTGCCGCAAAAATTTCGAAGATGTACTCTTTCCCAAACGAGATGATGTTGTAAAAACACTTATGATTTTGGTAGTCGTATTCGTCGCCATTGTAAAACAAATTTAACCAAATGTACAATGAAAATGGTTTAAAGATTTTAATTTTAATTGACTTGTCAAATTTCCAAAAAAATAATCGCTTGACATTGATGACAACCCTTTCGATACGGGTACAGAAATGTCACAAAGTGAGAGAAGAAAGAAACTAATGAATTTTAATGTGAATATTAAAACTGAAGATATCAAAGGGTCTTCACGAAAACCACCTAAACCTACAATAACGTGACGCGTGATTTATCGTAGACGTACGCCTGTAGCAATAAATAAAGTTATCAAACAATCAACTGATAACAGAATCGCCATACGTCACGCCCTGCCATCAAGGCAGTTGAATGCAACAACACAAATAGTAGGCGCTGATTCGGTCATTAATTTAACAGTTGTCTGTCCCGCGATGCGTCGCCATTTGGAGGTCACTCACTCGATTCTGCACTTCAAATGTGAACGTATCGTTTCGATTGTTTGATCGAATCAGAAAAGTAAAAGTTTTTATCGAAAGTAATAAAAAATTGATAAGTGAAATTTGGATAAAATAATCTAAACAATTTAGCGTTTTTTAAGTAGGTAAACGACTGATTAATTAAACGGTTTGTTACGCACATATGCTAAAAATAAATAAGCCACTACTTTTGATAGAATCATCTATTCGTATTTTAAAAGATGCCAAGATCTAGAAGTCTATTTTTACAGGACTCCATGAACGTTTAGGTGCATCATCATCATCACCATAAGGTCATCAGTCCTAAAACTGGTTCGACATGCATCTTCAACTTTTTCCTATCCTGAACTAATCGTCGCATTTCCCCAAAACTAGAACAACCCACATCATTAACTATTTGTGGACAGTAATCTAATCTAGGTCTACCTGTACTCCTTTTAACTTTTGTTTTTACTTCTAACACGTCTTTGACCAGCTCTTCATGCCTGAGGTATCCTACCAACTTCCATGGTGCCCCTGTTCTCCTATTCTTTCTAATACCTCCTCCATTCTAACCTTCAATATCTACCATAACAGAATGAGAAAATAAATTTCTTCAGAAAAAACATCAAACTCATTTTCAGGTCAAACTATGATCGAATACGACATTGAGAAGTGGAGGTGAACGTTGCTGAAATTGACATGCATTTAGGGTTCTTACTAGAGAAAGGGATTGCGAGTCGGAGAAGGAAAAACTGATGCTGCCTTGATTCGTGTCTAAAGGAGTCTACATTCAGTATCAAAGATAGAAAGATGTCTGAAGAAGTACGCCACTCGTGCGAGCGAAACGTTAAAAAGCAGCTCTAATCGACAACCGCCTTTAGACTTGAAACAGGACAGCTTCAGTTTACCTACTAGCCGCAGAATTTTCTGCTAATTTGTCGGAGAACAAAATCCGAGAGAAGTCGCCGATTTTCGATATTAAGGAATTCCATGGATAGGAATGTGGCGCTAAGAAAGTCAATAACAACAACAACACTTCCTGAAACAAAAAGGGCTTGTTACAGACGTATTAGAAGCAGGAAGAGGAGTAACAAGCTACAGATGAAGACCAAATATTAGTTTGAAAGACATTTTAGTTTTCGGGAAATGCGAAGACTGACTCATAATATGAAGACGTGGAGGTGCGTCTCCAACAGGTCTACTAGCTAGGTCTCCGGACATTGTGAGGGTGCTGATGATGATGATGCCTGTATTTAGTATTTTGTAGAAATGGAAACTAAACGATTACAGATTAAGAGAACTGCCAATGTTTCGGCTTCTTGCGTAAAAAAGAAATTAATGGGTTACAAACACCCACGACCCACTCACTAAAACCCATTCCAATATGGTATTCTTGACGGAAGAAGTGGGATGATACTCAAAGGCCTACGCACAATAAACAATAAGATGCAGTCAAAGCGAACGTGTAATCGATAGAAATTTATTTCTACCGATAAAAAAACATCCTACATGCTCGCGTAGCTTCTAAATCCCGCGACTCATTCGCTATATTCGTCCGCGGCCGAAGATAAAGCGTGAAAATGGTCTATTAACGCAGGTGCTTGAACTTGACACAGTGACCTCGAAAATCCCAACGTGGCACGGCTCCCATTTTACATTTATGCATCGTATCAGAGCTGACAGCGACGATATAATTGTACGTATCGGACACATTTTCCACTCGTACAGTAAAGAAAATGTTTAACAGAAATTAAAATATACTCTTTTAAAATGAAAAACCCATTCAATTTTGCTAATTTATTTTGCAGGGTAATAGAACACCTTCTCAGGTATGAAGGACTAGCTATAGGCATATTAGCAGTAGAGATTGCCTCCTGTCTTTCGATTTTTACCAATAATTTGGGCATGAGACGGGTCTCCGCAAAATTCGTACCAAAGTTGCTCAATTTCGACCAAACGCAGCATCGCATTAATATTGTTAAGGAGCTGCTGGACTCTGTCCGCGACGACTCAAATTTTCTCGAGGGTCATAACTGATGACGAATCATGGGTTCATGATTGAAACGTGGAAACCAAAGCTCAATCATCCCAATGGAAGCTGCCGCACGAGTCAAGACCGAAAAAAGCGCGCCAAGTTAGGTCGAATATGAAGGTTTTGTTTACAGTTTTCTTCGATTGCAGGGGCGTGGTGCAACATGAGTTCTTGATACAGGGTAGAACGGTCAATAAGGAATATTACCTGCAAGTTATATGCAATTTGCACGAAGCAATGCACCAGGAACGCCCGGATTTGTGGAAGAACAAAAATTGCCTTTTGCACCATGCTACACATCGTTGCTTGTGCCCGAATTTTTGACCAAAAACAACACACTAATAATGCCGCAGCCACCGTTTTCCTCATATCTGGCCCCCTGTGACTTTTTCTTGTTCCCGAAACTGAAGAGGCTCATGAAAAGACGACGCTACGCTACGAGTGAGGAGATAAAGACGCCATCAAAGGAGGAGCTGAACAAGATCACAAAAAATGATTTTTTGATGTGCTTCGAGGATTGGAAAAAACCTTGACACAAGTGGGGATTACTTTGAAGGGGGCAAAATAGATATGCATGAATAAATAAATAATTTTTGAAAAAACACAAAATTCGCGATACTTTTTGAATAGATCTCGTATACGTCTAAAAACACGATAAGTGGTCACATTAATGATGTGCCCTTGCGTGTACCATACCCACGAAGCGCTGCTGCTTTTAAACATTCGTTTACAGCAGGTAAAAGTTGGTCTGTTTTCTGTCGGAGCTGCCTGCGACGCGCTGATGAGATCCAAAAAGATCGAAATCGCGATCCGCGTCNGTTTATTATATGAAAACTGTCTTTCATTTCCACAAAAAAAAAACGAAATGACTTTCCGAACAACCCTATAGTTAAACAAAGGGAATATATTCTTAGACAGCGACTCAAAATAATGACAAACAGATATTCTAATGGCCTTGGTGATAAAACTCCACCCATTCCTAGATTTCTACATCTTAAGAACCTTAATAGGCATTGCTTACGGTTTATCTGGAGTTCCAGTTCTATCCCTGATTATATAGGGAGGCACCGTACTGTACGACATGAGAGGAACCCTTTCGCGCATGTGAAAGTTTATGTCATGAGATTCTTAGCTATAGCATCAGACACTTGCCGAGGTCCCATGAAAATTTTGACAGTATCGCAGGAAGTTAATCACTCTAATTGAATGTTTTTATTTTATAATCAATACGCTAAATGAAAATAACATTGCACAATCGGATTCATTCAAGGATACGTAACAAAGGCTCGGTTTTCTTTCAATTAAACAAAAATACTGTTACGTTTGTCCTAAATTTACTGCCACAACAGTACCTACCATGCATAATACGCAATTGTAAGTAGGCTTTGTCTTCATTAAGCTCTAACCAATACCGGGAGATCCAGTCAAAAAGAACTGTACACCTTTAACATCTTTCAAGTTTATTGCTTTTCGGGGCACCGACAGCGTTTTCGTTTTGGGGTCATACTAAATGACATTTAAAGAGTCGCCAGAAAACAAAATGCGAAAGGGGCTCTTTGCCGAGCCAAGATAAAATCTGATCGTGAGATGAAAGAAATAGTAAAATCTACAACGATTTATCTCACTTAGTTAGAAGGCAAAAAGTGGCATCCGATTTAACTGGGTTTCGTCAAATACATATTTCTTCCGAATGGGAGAAAGTGATGGTACCCTTGAGAGGTTACGACCTTTATTCGGTAAAAGTGTATGCTCAAAACTCTAAAGAAAAAAACACCAAAAGGCATCTAGATGTAGCCAGCGGTGACGCGGCGTGCTTAGTTGATTAAGACTAGACTTCCAGAGAAAAAATAATGAACTCTATATTAAGAATGTACAATTTCAACGGGCCCACGTCCTCAATTGGTTTGTTCGCAGAATCTCAATAATGCATTTTTTTATATTGCTTCCAATAAGCAATCAATTCAATCGCTTTTTCATTGAAAGTCAACAGCATACAAAAATAAAACAAAAAAACGAGATGTGTGCTGGGAAACATAGAAGAAAAACTTCAACGGACAAGTGGAAAAACGAATGGCAACGGACAATTGGAAGAACTAAAGGCAACGGACAAGTTTTACGGGCAGATTGTTAAAGTACTTGTCCAATTTGAAAACCTGCCCGTAAAACTTCAAGTAAAAATTTTGTTGCGATTCGTTTTTCCACTTGTCCGTTGAAGTTTCACTTTTATTCAGTGTCCCAGCACAGGTTTACTGCAAATTGTGATTTGGTTTTTACACAGACCGCAAACAGATGCTACGTGGAGAGCAGAGGTAAGAAAACAACAGCTGAGCACAGCACACGCCGCTGAGACTCTAGCGGACTCCCTGCTTTCGTAATACCCCATCGTATATATAGCCATTCGCTTCAAAATTGTATTTTGAGCATAACTCTGTTTTAGTGTTAAATTCCTTTGCTGTAACATTTGTTGGGTGTTGGTAATTTCAACTGCAATTGTTTTGGCATTCGTCTATTAAGTTCTTTAATTTAGTGTTCGGTGCTAAACCGCAATGAAATATTACATAAAGTGTATAGAAATAGATCTTGAATTGTTGTCTGTACTATACATACACTTTTTCTGTTCAAGTTGAGTCTGCACGTCTGTATCTACACACACAACTCACGGCTCTTCGATTACACATTACATTTACGCTCGCGTACGCCTACTTCTCAACAAGCCACGTATTTCTTTAACGATGTGCTTTGCTTTCATTCGACATTCTCGGTAAGAATTACTTAACTCATTTAAATCCCGTTCGCAAACCAACTGCCCATGTTACTACATCAGCTAACCGATCACAATCG